CCCCAAAACCCCAAAACCCCAAAACCCCATAAGAGAAATAGTCAGGAAATTTGATGACTAAAGAAAATAATTAAAAAAACCATCAATTAGATATTAGAATATATAAGAATTTTAATAAAATGAATTCCAAAAATAACAGAGGAGGGACCCCATCTCAAACAGATAGATAAATTCCTTACAGCCATCAGATTATCAATCAGCACTTATAGGAAAAAGGTATCATTGATTTGGTTTACGAGAATAGGGATATTTTCTAAGATTCATTCCTTGTAAAAATAAGTGCAATATCCAGGCAGCTCATCGAAAAAGAAGTAAAGTGCAATAAAGAGGCCATCAACTGGTAGAACCTCAGTTTAAAAACTTACTCAAATGCAAAATATAATTGTTCCTACTTAGTAGATTCAACCATTGATGAATAATCTATTTGCTGATGGTGGAAGCAGCTAGAATACTTCTATTTAGTATGCACCGAGTAATATTCATTAAACATAGAGTCAAAAATAATAAATGTCAGAGAAAGACAACTCTTCATAGTCTAGTCTTCTGAACTAGCCTCTTGGATCCAGCAACATTCTATTAAATGGTGGGGATATCAATTAAATAAACCTAAGCTTTTCTAATAACTAATCATTCTTGGATAACTAATCAGTGCCAGTTAGGTAGCAGGATTTACAAATTTAGTAGTTGTCATTGCACAATACATCTATAACAAACAATACCAATTACAATTATAGTAATTTGAACAACAATAATCTCAACAATAATATGCAGAATACGCCCAAGATACAAATTATTAGGCACATTAATTAACAATAATAGAATAATGAAAAGCCATTAATAATTACGAATTAGTAAAAACCACAAAATTAAAACCCATAAAAAATCTCAATGGAAAAGGCAAAGAAATTTAGAGAAAATTTTCTTCTAGATAAAAATGCATAATAAAAATTATTAGCTTAAAAATAGATTCAAATCATTGGAAATCTAAGCAATCTCAGACCAAAGACAGCTCTTAATTAAAATTAAGCGATGAACTTAGATTAGAATATTCAACTTGCCCTTAGAGAAATATCTCCACCAAAAGTCTAAAAGCAAAAATTGAAGGAAATTTCTTCTTAATTCCCAATGAATATGAGCTATTAAAATCAAGGTGAGAGAAATAGCAGATCTAGGAGTCCAGAATTATCTCATAATATTTAATCATGGACTAAAGATACTCTATAGATTAATAATTCAGAAGCAAATATTATTGACCCAAGCATCTCAGTATAGGTTGATCCTACTCAAAGTCTAACTAAATGGCTCCAAAATTAGCCGATTGACACTTTTAATGTCAATCAATCAGTTCAAAATTATTACGTGCAGCAACCTCCTTAAATAATCACAACAATGCCGAGATCCTAGCTAAATTAATCTTAATTGGCTAGGCAAACGTACTCTCCAATTAGTACTTCGAAGCAGAAAATTAAAGAAATTAAAGAGGAGAATGAGAATCTCTTAGAATAGGTAAAGCAGCTCAACAATCAAATTAAATCATTTAAATAAAAGAATCAAATTTGTCAGAAAGAGATATCTAGACTCAAGGAAGAAAATGAAGAAATCAAAAATACTTCAGCAGATTAAATCTAAAGATTTGAAAAAGTGCTTCATAGATTCTAGGCTATTGATATTGATTACTAAAATGAGAAAAATGACAATGAATAACTAAGATTTGATCTCAATGAAAGCAAAGTTCAGTTAGATATGGCCAAAGCTCATCTTTCATCAGTAATTTAGGTAATGAGTGATGTATTAGAATATGTAATCACTAGATGCTAAATAGCATAACCCGCACCATCAGTGACTCACTCAAGGAATCAGAGTTAAAGCTAACATAACTTTGATCAAACTTAGCTGTCTAATTCTACTGATTTTATGGATAGATCATATGATGATGAGAGAAGAAATCTAATTGAGTAGATCAAAAGTATATTAATAGCAAAAATTGATTCGATTAATAAAACAGTCATCGGTTTGGATTTTTAAAGAGAGCTAAATAATATTAGAAATTGGAGAATTATTGAACCTCCAACTCAGCAATTGCATATTAGCTCATACGATACTAATCATAATTCTGCAACGAGTAGAAAGGATACAAATGGAAATCTCTTTACTCAATAGCAACATTACTCAAGGAATACCTTTACAAACTTAAATCTAAATTCAAATAACACTGTAAATTTCCTAGGTATGGGTGGTAGTTTATATAATGGAACTCTAGGTGCTCAATCAAATTCAAGCAAGAAGTTCGAGTCAGATGCTACTCCTGTTCCTAGTTTTGGTAAAATATCAGCAAGAGATGAAAGGAGTAGTAGTAATGACAGATCTGATTAAAATAAATCAATGAATAAAGCTCTAACCTTCTCAGAAACTAGTAAAAATTATTGCATCTTAAAATTATTTAGAGTTCAATATGGATAAAGGTGGTAGTAAGAAGAAATCTACTAAGACTCAAAATAAGGAGATCCTAAACAATGACTCTATGATGAACATCAATCCATTCCTGCCCTCCGATATGCACTCAAAGATAAGCTATGACAACAATAAATCTCATTCTAGTATGTCAAAAGATGGGAGAGATATAGTCTTCACAATGAAAGAATCAATCAGAGATCTGGATTCATTTAACTTAACACCCGAGAAGATAACACAAAATATGCATTAGACTTTCTCATAGTCATTTAGTCCAACATTAGATCATCGGTTGGTAAGCTAAAAGGAGCATCAGCTGGCAATGACTAATAATATAAAGCTAAATCTTATGAATGATCAGTTGTCTTCAATAGATGTTGATTTCGTAGATGAGTTCTAGTTGAATAATAACTAGGATAGTATTCATAAGAGAAATTTGCCTGGAAGTGTGAATTATAACTACCATCAGGATTACTTAGGCAAGCCAAGAGTTTAGCAGAGCTCCTTAAATAACCTCAGACATTCCAAAAATATACACAGCTAGGACAATTTGCAAGGCTCCTTTGGTCCTTAAGCTGAGGCCACAGAAAATTAACTAACATTCTAATAGGAGTTTGCAATTGGTCTACAATCACATAAATCTCAGGATATGGTAAAGTAGTAAAACTTACTATCATTAGATTAAATAGATGAGATTAAGTATGGGGGAGGAGATCAATCAAGCATCTCACTTGGTTCTCTTAGTTTTAAAGATAATATTTTGTCAACTTCAAATCAGAAAATAGCTTACTAGCCTATGGATAATTCGGTTTCAGATGGTAGAGGCATCAATATGCTAGCTGCCAAAGCACTTTATGAATTCAAGGCTTAGAAGGATAAGGATCTAAGTTTTAATGTGGGTGATGAGATTTTGATTGAGAAAAAGAGAAGTAATGGCTGGTGGATAGGCTATTGTAATGGCAAAAAGGGTTATTTCCCTCATAATTATGTCTAGATTGAAAATGAAAATAATAGTGGCCACAATAACTTCAACAACATCATTGAAGAAGATGATTAATTTTAGAGGAAAAATACAATAAGCGAAAGTCTTGGAGGTCTGGGATTTAATTCCTCTTTTAATGATTTATGATTATATTTTTATCCATTATACTAGTTTTAGATTTCTGATATCAACAGGGGTTTTGGGGTTTTGGGGTTTTGGGG